CTGATTGCCTCTGGCCCCCAAGCCCTCCCCCTTGGCTGCGTCCCTTATATCATCACCTCGCAGGCTCCTAGGTTTCTCCTAATTTTAGAGAAAGGATGTCTGGGAGAAAAAAAAATTTTTTAAATGTCTTCTTCTACCCCTGCACTTGATTGATTAGGGACTAAAGTAATTTCCGTCGGAAGGTTGAAGGCTTTGCTCCAGGTTCTGCCAGCTTCTGAAGGGCTGTTGAGAATGTCAGTGATACTGTGATTTCTGATCCTTCGTATGTGGTCTTCCCCCCACCCCACCCCCCTTCTCCCTCTCTCTCTCTCTCTCTCTCTCTGGATGATGATCGTTAACAGCCTCAATTTAGTGTACTGATGTGCCTAGTTTGGGTTTTTGTTGTTGGTGGGTTTTTTCCCCCCCTCTCATTTCTATGCTGGCCCTTTGTGTTATTGATGTAAGGGAATTTTTTTTGTTTTCCTGGAAGGGAATTTTTATTATGAGTTTATTTGAGCCAAACTGCCGACATATGCTGGGAAGCAAGATCTCAAATGCTCAGTTTAATAACAGTTATGCAGCTCCTTTATGCACTTGAAATTAAGGAGGGACTGTACATGAAGGTGGGAGAAAGCAAGGCGGGGGCTGAATTACAGGATCGTTAACAGCCTTATTCGGGGCGTTACTTCTGGCATCTGAAAGGTGCGTTAACCTAGATGTACAAAAACAATGGACAGGGCTGGCTTAAAACCTTCACCACAGCAGGTATGCCCTGACCAGGTAGCTCAGTTGGTTAGAGCATCGTCCCTATTCACCAAGGTTTCAGGTTCAATCCCCATCAGGCTACGTACAAAGATCAACCGATGAATGCATACATAAGTGGAACAACAAACTGATGTTTCTCTCTCTATATCTATCTCAAATCAGTAAAAAGTAAAAAGTTACTAGTAGGTGCCTGGGGCATGCCTACCCACCATGACCTGCCGAGTTGGGAATTTATGATCAGGCCACTCTGCCATGTTCCTATCCATAGAAGCGCCTTTTTTGGTCCACAGTGTTCATCAGTCCCAGGTAATTTTTGGTATTTTAGTCTTTAATACTTTCCTTCCCTTCGTTTTATGCCACTAGATACAGGGCAGAAATGAGGGTTGTTACGTGAACACAACAGGGAACTCTAGCATCCCCAGCCCCCTGCCCTGTCCTAGGCTGCAGAGTTGAGGATTCTTAGGGGAATTTGGACCTTAGAGAAGGACTTTTAAATCCAGACACTTGGGGAGGGGTGTGCCCCTGAGAAATGGGGGTGGCTCCTCCTAGC